TAGATTGATAAATTTTATCCTTGTGTTTTTTAAGATGTGAAAACATGCAAAGATCACAATATCTGGAATACAAGTTGTCAGATGCTCATATGAAGTAATCAAATAGTAATTTTTGGTTCAATATTTCTACTTGGATATGTATTATGTCTTCAATGACAATGATATAAACTATAATATATGTTGCATGACAATCCATCATGTATCTACTGTCATATGCAAAACCAAAAGCCTTTGACATTCACAAGAAGGTATAAAAGGCAGTAGAAAATAACAAAAACAATCCTCACATTTGATTTGCATTATTTTCCATCTAGATCCAATATGATACTTCATTCATTCGTATATCATATTTGAAAACAAATCACTATAAAACCTAACGATGTAAAATACATGTATGAATCGACAAAACGAAATTTGGGGAAAAAAATGAAGAATAACTTAGATATACTCTTCACTTTAGACAATGTAATAACCTACAATGTGTGAATACTTGCTACGCCCCTTCACTATCTGCCCTCCTCTATTCTCCACTTGCATTCATCTCCGTTGCAAATGCATTGAAAGGGTGGCACAATTTCTCATGTACTGTACCACAAGCCGTGGATGGATTGAATTATGCATAGATCAATTCATGTTCATATTAGCATCAAGGTCTCTGAATTTCTCATTTTCCTTGACGTGGAAGCATAATACAATGTTTCTTATCTTCAACCCTGTAGTTCTGTTGGTCTCTTATCCACCGAGGGCAAATGAAAAGAGCACTAAAAATCCATCTTTTGGTTCAAACCCGGCAGGCTTGTCACTTGACAATACAGTACTTAGAGTGGTACTCGAAGTTGTTCTTATGTGATGACCAGGCCTCTTTAATTTAGGCGTTGGCCTATATTGCCTAATATAAACGAGATTAGGCACCAAATTGAAATAGAATTAGGCCACTTAGGCATATAGCTTTAAACGGGCTCGCCAGATGTAGTTTACTGCTTCAAGCGTTGCAGTTGCTCGTACTGCTTGCATTGCAGGAATGCCTCAAGCGAAAAATCTGTCAAGTACTTGTTGAACGCATCTTTGCAAAATTTCAAAATAGAAAAGTCGCTTTCAACGGGAGCAGTGTTAGGAAATGGCGTGGCCAGGCCGCCAATGAACCGCGCGAGGTGGCCGAATCGATCATCCAATGTAGGTGCGCTCCATGCAACGTCGAAGTCAGAACTAAGGTCGTGAGCGTTGATGGCTGCTTGCGTCGTGTCATTACTGCGATATGCCGCGTAGAGCGCTGTGAATTGCGATCCAATTTTGTCAATATCAGACGGTGTCCATGATGCATCCGGTCTGTCCTTTTGCGCCGCTACAAGCAATGCAATGTCTCGGCCCTTGAGCTTAATGAGTTCCGATGGGTGTGTCGGTGGCGCCAGTAGCTCGTTAATTTCGTTACGGCCGTTCCAAAGGGCGCAGCATTCGATAAAGCCCAGAACAATCTCGATGATCAAACTGGCGACGTTGTCGATCAGCTCCAATCTCGCGGCCGTATCGAGCTTGGCGAGCGCCACCATTTCGAAGTGGTCCAGATTGTCGATGAATTCCGCCACGTCATCATACAACACCGTGAAATCATCGCGAACAAAAACTTTATCGTTGTCATCGACGTAGTGAAATCCGCCAAAGTGCGCGTCAACTCCGACCATGAGCATGAGTTCAACGGTAAGCTGCTCAACTATTGCTTGCTGCTGATTGAGCGTCAATCGGTGTCCCTGCATGCGCATGACCGCTTTGTGGATATGGCCGGTGATTGTCGCCGTCACTGAGATCAGGATCCAGAAAGATATAGATTCTGGCTCGGATGTACGATGATGATGTCCAGCAGGCATTGCTTCATAGTGAGCGATGACCTCGTGGCGATGATCGGTCAGCCACAATGTCGTAGAGCTCATCGCATGCCAACGGGTCGTGGAAGTTTTAGGGCATACAGATCCCATTTCAGCAACCAGCGTCAGTTGGCGGCGCAGATGAGAGATCATCGCGACTAACGTTGCTAGCCACTTTCCACCGTCGAGTTTCGTGTAAACCACATGCAGTGGTATGTCGAGTTGATGGAGCAGGCACCACACGCGATGAAACCCGCCGTGCGCAACTTGCTGTAGACGAGTGATAACGCCAGATATCGCACCGGTCATGTTGGGCGCGCCGTCAGACTATGCGCCAATCAATTTATGCCTCCAATCCGGGCACAGCACATCGAAGAGTTTGCACAGCAGGTTGAACTGCGCCTCGCCGGTGTGCGAACCGAAGAACGGCACTGAGATGACATGCAAATTAGACAGCCATCGCTGCCAGACAAATCGAACGTGAATGTCGACGTACGACGTCCCTTGGCAAGTTGATGCGTCCAGAGCGATCGAAAATGCCCAGACACGACGAAGGATATTCGCGACAATCTGCAAATTGGCAGCGCATCGTACGCGGATGAAAGTGGCGACCTTCGATTGATTCATGCCGCCGAGTTTGCTGACACTGGCCTCTTCCTTGGCCGCTTGCAAAGCCAGCGCCGTCTGTTTCATGCTGATGCCAATGCCGACGTACTTGACTGCGAGGTTGTACGCCATCGGTGTTTTGATTGTGACCGTGTAATCGTTAGTCTGCTCATCAAGAGTGAATATGCGCATTGCATTGTCAAATGTCAACCCGTCAATGTCGTCGGGATCCCACAACATCTCACCGATGATCACTTCAACGATCAACTTGTCGAGGCGATACGTAATGTGGTCGCGCTCCAGATCCATATGCGAAATGATCGTGTTGACGAACGGCACAGCCACATCGAAGAACAGCGCCTTGTCGGCGTTGCTCTTCCTTTGATACGCCTCCCACATCTGGGGGTGCTGCCCAGTGAGGTGCGAGCGATAGTTCTCAAGGCGGAATTGAGGACCGAACGTCTTCTGACAGCTCGTCTTCTGTCGTTTGGCACCAACCTTCTCTTCGACACCATACGCAATGCAAAGCCGGCAGGCGACCAGGTCGATCTTACCTGTTTTCGCGTCCTTGCTGACGACTTTCAAACCGTACTCAAGAGTGTGCTTCGGGTTGTATGAAGTGTCTCTCGAAGCGGGAGCCTTGCCGCGCTTCGACGCAGGTGTCATCCTTTGTTACGAACGATGTGGTAGTTACGAAACGCGAAATAGAGGCACAACGCTCCGCTTGGAGCGCTTTTAAGCATCAATTGACCGTCGCGTAATTTAGGCATTTGTCGTTGCTGGGAATAGGCAAATTAGGCATTTATTTTTGAATTGCCTAATTTAAAGAGGGCTGGTGATTACCATAAGAACAAATGAATCACTTTCCGTGCAAAGAAACAGAGGACTAATCAGTTCTCACTACTCTCTTCGTTCTGAAAAGACAAAGGGAAGTTTTGATGCCTTCCGTACGGTAGTTTGGAGCTCATGGTGACATCCACTTTTCTCATCAACCGTAACTAACTACTCTCCCTTGATGTTGATAGACTTGTCTTCTTTCTGACCAGTAAGAAAAACGTGATTTGACCAATTCGGCCGTTTCAGCAGATCTATGAGGCTATGGATGTGATTCAGGAGACATTGTTGCAGAATATATGGGAGACTTGCGTGGACTGGTGCAGGATGGACAGTGCATCCTCCAACAAGAGTATCTTTAGGGTAGTGTGATGCCAGCGACCTTTTCCAACGAACGATTACGGCAGTCGTAGACGGAGCAAAGAAAGGCTGATCTAGTTGCAACTCTAGAGCGGGAAGAGTGTTGGACTTCGGCGCATTCAGCTGCCGCTGCGGTTGGCAACTTGGCATCCAGTGGAAAATGTGGCATCCATAGCATAACTCTGCAAGTGATCTGGGTTTGGCGAATTGTCTAATTTGAGAAAAGGTCACAAGAGGGCACAGTGGGTAGTTCTGGGCATACACGTACGATCCACGTCGTATCGGCCACGCGCTCGTCAATCGAGCCCACCATCGAGTCGTAGGTATTCGGCTTCCATGAAGTCCTTCGCACACCGACCTTTCTGTGTCCAACTAGTGGACCATGTACCAACTCTACTTAATAAGTAATCAATGTTCTCTAAAAACAAGAGAGGAGAGAAAAGAAGAAAAGTCGCCTCTTTTCTGCAATGGCCGCTCTAACAGTATTTGGCATCCATTAAGTCCATTCCTGCACTCCACCTTCCTGTGTCCAACCAGTGGGCTATGGACCAACTCTACTCTGAGGTAACTTCTGTGCCATAATGGTAGCTCTGCTGGGACCGGTATACATTCTGCAAGAATCTCACGAAAGATTTTCCTCACTGAAAACTCTGATCATATGAAAACCTCTAAAAAACTCAAGAATTCAAGAACCAAATAAAACACAAGTTTGACACTCATGTAATATGAGCCATCGTGTTCACCGTAAGCGCTCAACGAAACATTCATAGAGGTTCTCTATTCGATTTGATAATTGTATACAGTTTTGTTATGAGCATTTATTCCGTGGGCAACCTTCAAGCTTAGAATCTATCATCACCTCATGTGTTATTCAGGCTTATCAGCCACAAGTCACCATAACCACTCAAACTACCTCTTGATTCTCTCTACTTTTATCTTTATTTCAGCAGGTTTTTTGTCTCTTGTCATGAAATTCAGTTCACATGCACATATGTAAATGAGCCATTAACAATTTATTCTTTAGAGAATGCGGACAAAAAGCGGAGCGCCTACTCATTTTGAATGACTCTCTTCTTAAATTTTTAGAAACGCTTGTTCTGTGGGGATGCTCCCGCGGCCATTTATCCAACGTGTAGGAATGTTAGCATAAGAGAGCTCATTTGTGTCAATTCTGACGAGGGTTTACTTGTGCGTTGTTTTGAAGTTTGATAGTACATGGTGACTCGTCAGATTTTCTCACTTGAAATTCTCACAAGTCCTTAAAATTGAACGGGAAGCAATATATTGTCTAATTTTTGTTGCCGAACGTGACGACCATCGACTCTGCAGTGATCAGGAGCTGATTACCAAATAATATTGTATGCATTAATTTAACGCGGTAGCGTTCTCAGAGAAAGGACTTGTGATCAATCTCTCGTTGATCGAGTGGTTCCACTCTTGCCGATAGTATATAAAGCTCGGCACAAAACTACTTAACAGGTTTCAAGAGTACCATCCTCTACCTGCATGAAAGGATGATCGCTGATCTCAAATACTTTGCGCATACTTTCTCAGATAATGTGAGCTACTTCCGAACCGGTAATCCTCTATATAACCCGTACTAGTGAGTCCTTCTAAAAAAATATGATCACATGTCAAGGCCTATCACCTTGTCTTGTTTGACAAGATCTGGAAGGTACGAGCAAGTTTTGAATGTTAGGCTCAGGCAGGATCAGGGTATCACGCAATGTGTCCTGGAAAAGTCAGAAAAACTGTGGGACAATAGTACTTTCTCAGCTCATAAAACCGTAGGATCAATTTTCTCTATGGTCTTCGTAGAACCACCTGCATAAGTTTCTAACTCAGCCACTTCCTCGTCATCATGAGCTGAGGAAAGCTCAAACAGTGTACGAAGGTTCATGGGGGAAATAAATCTGCTGGCATTGGGACCATCCCAGATTTCTTTGGACCAACCTTGAGCTATAATTTCCGTCGAATGGAAAGCATCCCAGTACACATATTCATGAGCATTTGAGCACAAACTGTAGTCTGCTCCTGTTGTAGGGTCCTTCCTTCCACACGGTGCAGTATTACCGCAGCATGCTCCTGCGCCGTTCGATAGCCCTGCAATCAATTCCACTGACATGTCGGTCACTCTGTCCTCTTTCAGGCAGTACAGCCCAGATATCTTTTGACCCCACTCTTAAGTTAATCCAACTGTGAACACCGTGATACTGCTCTCTGGATCACAATTAACAGTTTCTCCAGCTATTGCAAATGCGATGAGATATTGTCACTACGACACACATGAATGGTGAGAACTGTTCACAAAGAAGGTCTGTTCACCTGAAGCATTTAAAAGAACTACCTTCAACTTATTGATAGGAAAGCAGAGATCGAAGGTCCAAGTGGACCTCCAGAAGTGAGCCTCTCCAACATTTATTCCTCTGGGTTACGGGAGAGAATCGTACCAAATGCGGTCGGGTTATCCTGGCGTTCTGTCATGTAGGTTAAGAAATCTGCTATAAGAACAGTCATTTCTTGATGATGAGATGCCCAGTCTTTCAAAGCCATTGCGAGTGCCATATTATGAGCGACTGCCATCTGAGTGCCTTGTTCAAAACATTCCTGAGCTGGATGTAACGCCCTCACTGCAGGAATACAACCCAGGGGTCCAACGCCAGCGACGACCATCTTCCGAGCACCCTTAGATCGGAGAAACTGTTGAAGGACACAATACGATAAGAGTCACGACATCAGCACAAACTCAGGAAGACAGTTTTGCAAGCTCTCCAGTGTGCATAAAACTTCGGGATCGTAGTAGTAAATATGATTCGTTTTGATTCTGCATCTGTTAGAGGCTGTAACTGCTTGATACATCGAAGTGATGTATCAAGCAGTTAAGGCATGATTAATTTAAAACGCTAACGGATTAATGCACACAATCAGCAGTCCTAGGTATCCAATGAGAAGTAAGACATCCTCTGACATCTGACTCAACGTGCGGCGACTCCACCGCATTTCGCATGCCTCAGTCCTTGGACTCAGATAACCAAAACTTAAAATGCTACATCCAAGACATTCAAAGTCATACTTTAAATAGGAATTGTGTGCCACTTCTTCATAGTTACCCCTTTCTCTCAGTACACATATTCCGTAACTATTATCCTCATCTAGTTTATATGAGCAGTCTCTACAAATCTTTCCAAGTTGCTGTTTCGGGGACAATACGTGAGAAAACGTGGGATCTACCAGTGCCAACTCCTCGAGAGTTCGTCTGTTCGTTAGGTCCGTTCCTAAGACATGCAACTCAGCATTGACAGTTATTTCTTCTTATGCCTCAGACAGGAGAACAGGCGACACCCAGTAGTGTATGCTAGTTTTATGTAGTGGTCGGTTAAACTTGAGGATGACATGGAACTTATGATGATCAACGGGGTAAATTGGAGAATACCTCGCAAGCCTTCACAACATCTGAGACAACTAACGCAAGAAACTCTTGGGGAGTATACTTCTGTTGCAACTCCTGCTTAGCAAAATAACCTCCCATGTAATCATTGTTTGCAAGACTGACGAGATAAATGGCGTCCGAGAAGTACTTCTTTGCAAGATCGGTACCCCATTTCTCAATCAGTCCATCCTCAAAGTTTACAAAATTTTGCAGCTGCGCTTTAAGAGACATAGCCTGCATCGAGCACAACCACCAAAGATAAGCTTAGAACAAAAAAGCAAGCAAAGGAAGAACTTAGCAGATGGGGGGATTACTCGAATGCCAGAATATCTATCCAAATAGTGATGCTGGATTCTTTTGCAAATCATTTGGCTATGACATTTCTCATGGCCAGATGTAATGCAAATGTCATGTAAATGAACAATGTAATAGAATCCTCCTGGATCCGATATCCCTGATAGATATTGTCTCCATTGTTGTCAGAAAATAGGACAAAATCCGCAAATTGGTACTGTAATATGCCATAACTTGAAACTGAGATGAAGTTAATTAAAGATGGCTTCTGACCTAAGCCTGCAACATACATTCAAAAAGCCTCGTGGTACTTGGGGTATCCATGAAGGCTTTTGAGGTACATGATACTTACCATTCCTTGATTCGTTTCGTCAAGGACACCGGATCCGCCCGAGGCGAAGTTGACTCCTTTGGAGTGATCCGCACCGGGCTCCAGATAAGGGCTCACATGAGGACGCCCAGCATACTCACCTGCACAGATAGCACAGTGAAACTAGAATTCAATCTCCAAATTCAAGGCCATTGAATTGATAGGCTGGCGCCTGTCTTCAGGATGAAACGATTGGAAGTCTTGTAACAAATTTTACTTCCAAGTTGAAGCCCGATAAAAGGTAAGGGCATTCTAACAAGGTGTTCAGATGGGATTACATATGAAGTCCACATAAACTCGCCCATTGCTGAAGCGACCAGTTGGCTTGTCGAAGTAGTCCTTGCCGAACGGAGGGAAATTGGCCAGGAAATCCTCAGTTGTGTTGATGTAATTGTTGTTTCCAGTATCGACGGTAGAATCCCCGAAAACAATTAACGGAGGAGTTACTTGTGCTGCTGATCTTGTTGCTACGATTAAGAATGAGAAGAGCGTGGACAGCAGAAACGCCATCTTTTGTTTCCCGATGTCCTTCGTAATCCACATCCTGCATAAGAAAATACAAGTTACATCGAGGCCCACGTTTGCTCATTGCACGCCATAACGAACAGCAAATAAATAATTAAGAGAAAACTATGGGCTGAATAGACATGCTCTCGCATTGTTCATCTAAATCACTCCAAATTGATGGACGTCCCCAGATTATCCCCGAGAATCATTCAAAATTCTGGGCAGTTAAATTTCAAAGTTATCTCGCATCCCCGGCATCAATCTCTCATATGAAGAGGCAGAAGCTGAATTCAACTTTATGAGGTTTTGGTATATCAACATGTAGATTTCGTCCACCAAGACGAAATCTACATGACGAACTCGTGTGGCCGACAATCATTCAACATGCGTCTATTAGAAAAAGAGAAGTGTGGGTATCCTGCGCAGAGAACTGCAATTCTAGTTACAACGCTCTGGCCTTCTCTGGCTGGGCGCATTCTGCAAAGTGTCGCATGGATCTTTGGCGATCTTCGCGTCCAGGTGAGTAAACGCAAAGTTGGCCAGTGGAACACTCTAAACATTCATGCCCTCAACGTGAGAGAAGTGCAGCCGATCAAGTTTGAGCGACATAAGCAAAGTGACAAGCGAAATTCACCACTGCGCAGCTAACATTGATTGCAACGCCGCGAAATTGTCGGGTCTCCGACGCCTTACGATACCACATTAGCATTCTACAAATCCGGCAAAGATCACAAATACTGCCAGGCTCTAGTCGTGATGCTAGACAGACGGTCCATGGACCAGAGTATACCTCCACCACCTTCCTTCGGCACAGAGAACTGCAATGATCTGAAAAGTTTTCCCTACTGCTTGAATTCACGACGAAGAGCAGGCACACCAGAATCCACAGCTCAAGCGCATGACTAATCAGCTCCTTTATGTCTTATACCAACAAACCGTACGTGCACTTCCGAAGGTAATCCGACACAGAAGGAAGAAGTGGATAAAGCTGCATACACTTCTCCGCATCGTTCGGATCTGGACACAAGGAGGCCCACATTTCATGCTTCTCGAATTAGAAGGGTCGGTATCACTCACCGAGAACAGCGACGAGTCGACCACTCCGCCAGCGCCTGACGTCGAGAATTTCAGCGAAGGCAAATCGCAGCGAGCTGCCGAAGCCTGCCCAACGTGCCGACGGCGTCGACGAGCACGAAGCCCTCGCTGGCCGGACGCCGCGAGTTCGAACATGATCGTCCGTCCGTCCTGGCGCTCCGCGGGTCTCCCCGAATTTCCGCGCTCCGCCGAACGCATGCGAACGACGGCGGCCGTCGATGACACGTCTTCTTCCCGGCGACGTAATTGCGCTCTCGAGCAAATTCACGCCGACGGAAGTACGAGCTGCGCTCTGTTGTCTGAACGGACGGCCCTCTCGCCGGGCTCCACCGAATTTCGGCCGCAGGATCGGCAGCTCTCGTCGGCAGGCTGCATTCGAAGCCTTCCGGGCGCTCTCCGCCACGTGTCGACGACGTGAACCCTCGTCAACTGAAGGGTGACGCTTAAGAATCTCACTCACCGTCTGCGTCTGTCTCACGGGAGGGTCTCGTGAAATTGACCTAATTCACGAGTTCCTGTCTATCTCATTCGGACGAGTCGTGAATACTTCGATTGATGCTTTGCCTTTTGCGGACTTGAAATTTACACGCAGTCGTCAAACCTCGTACACTGCACAGTCTATGGAGTTTTTCGTTTTCATAAGCCGCAGTCTGCACGCCGATTCAGATCCTAGTGGATGAAAGAGATATTGATTCGTTCCAGGTTCGATTGACTCGGGGGCTTTACGAGAGTTCGCAATGTTCGATCAGTTTGTGTCAACTATCTGCACGAGGATGACATAAAGTTTGACGAATCTCTCTCGCGTTCGGGGCCAATCAAATGAGAGATGTGGAAAGCTTCGTGTGGAGATCTGGCCGGTCCGCCGTAGAAAACATGGAGAATCAAGTTCAGGCGACGAACTGATGGTCGGTGAGAGAAACCTCCACTCATCAATCAGACGGTTTGGTATCTTCGCGTCATCCAAATGCAAATGCATTACGGACGTAGCGGACTCCGACAACTGCATGGTCACACGACGTCGGAACAAACTTTATGCTGTTGCGAGGTTTAAAGTACTGAGGTTGGCATGTTGTGCTCTCGATGCAATGCTGGACACGAGTCACCATCTAAAGGTACTGTAGTTTTCCATCCTCACGAGTAATCAAACAAAAAGTACTTATTCTTCCATGTCTTGAACTCCTTTGCGGTCTTGCCTTTATGGATATACTATAGCCGACCAGCCCAGAACCATAAGTGCTCACAATTATGATTACCTCGGAAAAGTTCCAAACCTCGCAAACTGGAAGAGTTCCAGAATGAAGTAGAGTTGTGCAATATAAGAAGGAAGCCATGAAGTGTCCGAATGATCATCGGCCAGGATTGCACTTTCGCTCTCTTGCATGATGTTTGGGCCATATCCTTTCCAGCGCTGGGTCAAATAGAAAGAGTGAAGAACCAGATTAACTCATACGTAGTATTGCAACGATGGATGACTTGGATATCACCTCATGAAAAAGGAGAGAACGAAAAAGATACAGTGATAATCGAATTTTATGCATTTTCGTTATACATAACACATCTTGTTCCACATTATTCTTCAAATATCATGTGTGTGCCTTTCACATGGGCGTGCAGCAAAGAGGCTAAGATGCCATAAACCAGATATGAAAGTTCTCAGAAATATATACATAGAAGAAAGTAAGGGGACTGAGCTTCCGCTCAGTGAGGTTAAGTTAAGTGAGGAGATGAAAGGTTAAGTTGTTGTGAACAAAGAAGTAGATGATAATGGTGTGAAATCGACAAGGAGGAGTTATTGAGTGACTTCAAGTAGCCCGAATATTGAAAAAAATTCTTCACTTTGGTGCTTAGTCTACGGCTAATAAGCACTTGCATGATGAAGAGGGGAAACTTTGGCTATACATGTGGTGAGAGATAGAGTGAACTTTTAGTGTATGGTGTCTAATTTCTTGTCACAAAATTTTTGTGTGTAATAATATTATCATGTTCACTCTATTATCAACCGAACTATCTCATCAAAACAGATGACTGCCATTTGTTTTGATGAGATAGTTCGGTTGATAATAGAGTGAACATGATAATATTATTATCCATGTCATTCCAATCTTCCAATATCATATGTTTGACATCCCCGTATATCAACTGGATTTGCAATATATCCTAATTGTGACCGTTGACCACCTTTAATTCGAGAATTGTTGTCTCCTGGCAAGAACAGAATCGAATTTCAAAGAAGCCAATATCATCTAAACATATCTCTCATCCTTGCTTTTACGATCAACTTTTCAAAAACTTTATGGAACATAGATCTCAGACAAAATTCATTGTTTAACTAAGGACTCTAATCTCGATGAAGACTTGGACCAGTACGAACTTTCTCTACATTGGGTCATATGTCACATAAGGTGGAGCTATATATCCACTTGCACATACTCTTCTACAAAGGCGTAGACATGACATTTGAGATTGATAAAGGTTTCTATTTGTAGGGCTACACTACTTGACCCAGACGCACAACCCTTTGCTAAAAGGATAGTTTGATACTCTTTAAAGTCTTTGTTTTACACTGCTGTGGTTTTTTTCCCACTTTTTCACCTACATCGAACAAAGAAGTAACTCTAAAACTTGAGTTACTTATATGGAAGGTGTCCTCTGTAACACCTTTTTCGTTGGTCGGTACTGTACGATAGTTTTCGATTATATGTTTATCTCTTTAATATTTGGACCTCAACTGACTGAGTTACTTCACACACTTACACATGTACACATCAACCTACAATGTCTTCCTAGGATTCGTTGAACTGGGCTTTCCAAGGATCTCCGTGTCAGAATAGTAGATTTTTCTTCTTGTGACTGGATAGTCTTTTCTGTTCTCATGCACCATCACGAAAGGTGCATTCGTCGTTGGTAAAGCCAAAAATTTGTTAGATTGACAAAAACTGATGTGGGAATCAGAGTAGCCTCGACATCACATTTAGATAAATTAAATTTATATACATGGTTGGCTCATACTCAACGATACTAATATTAGCGAAAGGCCTAATTGAAAGGTGTATTTTTTATTCTTCAGCCGTCCAACTTTTACAATCGTCGAGAGCGCTTTGCTGATTGTGTGATGTAACGAAGTAACTGTCAATGCCCGACAATAAGGTTTAAAAACATCGATTCTTGCACAACTATACCTCCTACTACAACTTTATGTTCTTCGGGATCGTGTCCTGCACAAGGGGATGTATTCAAATACCAGCTTGCAGATATAAGGTTAAATTGGACAAAAAGACTGGCAGGTAAGCTAACACAGATAAACAAAGAAAAAAACCCCATGTATACAAGGCTAGATGGGGATTCCTAATCTGCATGTATACAAAGTCCCACCATACCGCAGAAAGAGAAGTGTGATTTCATCTCCACCAACTACTTATTCATCCATACTATTAAGTACACATTTACTGCATCCATTTGATAGGATTGGGCAAAACAGACTAAACAAGTATAGTGAGCACTGGTGAAAGCAGTGCACACTTGTAACGGATCAAGGGTCCACGATATGGTGTGATAAACAAATTTGTATAAACATTCTTTCTGTAAAACATCTGTGCCTACAAAGGTCATCAGACTCAGATAACGCGTTTCCGGTGATCAACTCATGTCTTTTAACAGATTACAACTCACAGATCGACAACAAATTCAAGCGTGTAGAACGAAAAATCCCGTGGATCCTTTGTGAGAGATCTCCCAGGTCCAGTGCTCAGTAAGACCACCGGAGAAGTCATAAAACAAACCGATATATACAGATAATATCCAAAACACATGCCTTGCAAAACTTGGTGGTCGAGAGTAGAAACGTGACTAAATGCTCGAAGATAGTGAGCAAATTATTACTTACGAGCCCTGCACTTTAAATTGTCCAGTCCAGGAAGCTTGAGCAGTTTGAGGATCATCGGAGTCATATCACGTGAGGATAAAGAAAAAGCTATCACGTGCACATGACAAGATTCGTCCTGTCCTGACTGTAAATTCGAGTTAACAGAAGCTAGAGATTTGATCTGAAGAGAATCTCCGCGTTTATGTTGATTCCAATGTATATGAAATCGTAACTAACATCGGTGTGAAGTAAGTTCCCCACCTGTTTACAGTTTGCACAAGATGTAACACTATACAATAACTAACTACGCGGCAAGAATGTTCTACCACACTGGTATATCTCTAAAGTCCGATACAGTTCAGGTTGCTCATAAGCCAATGAGCAGAAATATAAAAGGCTCTTCCGGTCCTACGAGCTTACCTCCAGGCCTGAAGCTCCGACTACCACACAGTGCTCCCCGTGAGAGTAGTTCGTCCAATAGCAACAACACACCGAAAGCCCAATGAGTATGGTCATAGGGATTGGGCATATCGTGCGGGTCCGACAAGTGTGTGCAAACAAAGAGCTAGACACATTGTCATGACAACCATAGCTTTAGATGCAGTAGCTATGGCCAAGTCTCCTGTCTTTGTAACGATCTTCACAACTGTCGAAGTCGAAGGCTTTTCATCTTTTGGAACTTCTTTCTTTTTGCTTCTAAAAGGATGCGATACCTTCTCGGCAACCACTTCAATTGCTGAGCGAACTGCTTCGTGAGTCATGGTTCCAGCTACATCCAAAACCAGAGCACGATTGCTCGGTACTGCCAAGGTCCGAGAAATCCCATCAACCCAATTTTTGGAACCCACTGCCGCCTTGTCGGCCTTTACAGCAGACTTTCCGTTGTTCTCACGACCGGGCACCAACGTGACCTGTTGCGACTTGTCGGAGTCCACTCTCAAAACTTTGTCAACTTGCGGAGTTTGATCAAAAGAAATGTTTACACCCTTCAGGCCAGACATGGCCAAGCTCTGGGTTTCACTATTTTCTGGAGTACAAGGAGCAGAAGCTGCAGGATCGGCATTATCAGCCTGTCCTTCGCCTCTGCCATTTCCATCATCGCCACGTCGAGGATGAGCTGAATCTGAGGAGAAGCCAGCACTGTCCAAAGCAAACATCGGTTTTCCGCTGGAGAGGGGACTGTCAATTTCAACAACGGAACACTCAGGTTCACTTTGAGAGGACCCGGAGGAACCGGCAGACATAACATCGTGGGAAGTTCGGATCAAAGTCTCCACCGCTCCATTGCATACTGAAGTAAGAAGCTCTTTCACTGGCACCCGATGAGAAGGTTTAACTACACTAGCAATCATATCTTCATAAAAGTTGACATCTCGTGTCTTTGCCAGATAAACGGAGACTGCCGTTCCTATGAAGGTCTCAATGCAATCGGCGATTAAAGCCTTCCCTTTGCTACTGGATGCAAAGTCTATCAAATTGTCCTGCATGCTGTGGCCGGAAGCAGGTTCACTGAAGACCGGTTTCCTGGGCGAATCCGGGATAATCCCATCCTTCGACACCGGTTTCTCCACCGAGTCCTCCTTCCATGCTTCCGGAGACCAATCGGAGGAGCTCCAAACCTGTGGTTTTCTGTCTTGCGATTTCTTCTCTTCCATACCTTGCAGCACAGACAGCACGATACTTCTAGCAGCACTCGCAACTACCGCGGAGGCAAAGCCTTTGCCAGCCTCCGTAAAAAGCTTGCCTACCAGACGCTCAGGTAGCCCTTCTGCTTTCCCTTCGCCCTTTAGTCTTCTATCACCTTGGGACCTGCTCTTTCCTTTTCCACCGTCCGCAGCACTTTCTGCTCTGTAATAGTTTCTTGAAGTCATCCACGCAGAATACCTTCCTACGTCATCTTCGTCGTCTTCGACATCAAATCGCGACGCGCTATCGCTTCTTTCCATTCTATCCTTCTTGACAGCACCATCGAACTTGCCATCATCATCTTCATACGCCTCCTTGTACTGCGAGCCATCGGTTTCACCCGACAATCGTAATCTCCTGTCTTTCCAAGAATGCCGCGAATCTCTGTAACCTAGCTCACCGGATGTCTTCCCTGTCTTGCGCAAACCATCTTTCCTGAACGAAAGCTCTTCGTATAAGGCAGAACCGTACTCGGTGCCATCGGACAGAGAAGGGCCACTTCTCGCCAGCGAACTTACCACCCCCTGTGTCACAGAACGACATAGAGCCGCTACAGAAAGTTGAAACTCTCGTGTTTGGCCAACTTTCAGTAATTGCTTCAGACTCTGGGGCACCTCATCCTTGTCGGTGAGAAGAAAGTTGTGGAAATCTGTCCACAATAAACCAGCGCAGTCGCCTCCCTTTGCAGTGACTTCAAGCAACGAAGAAAGCGACTCGAAAAACAAAAACAATTGCCGTCGTTTCCGTGCGACAGCAGGAGACGTATAAATTCTATAAGAAATGTAGCCCCCCGCACCGACGGCAGCGCAAGCAATTAGAACATTCCTTTGACGACGGGTAAGCGGAAGCGACATCGCTCCCTTCCTCCCTCCCAAGAAATTCAAGACTACAACATTGGCTCGCCCCTTGTCGTTGTCGACTTCCAGTAGAGATTCAAAACCTTTCACAAGTTCCCTGCAACGAAATCCCACCTCCTCCGCAAACTTTCCCTCGCTGAAACCACTGACCTAACCCTGTTCCAAGACTCTCTCAAACCTCCCTGTGCGACGCAAATTACACTCGAACAAACTGAGACAAGGGCCGTCCCGCAGTCCAGTCCGCACAACCCTACGACTCCGGCTCGAATACCACAGGGAGAAAGACTCCTCTCACAGCAAATTCCACGGACGGGCGAACAGTACAATCGCTAAATTCGTCCAACTTTTCTCAATTCCGTGCTTCACGTCCGGAAAAAGAATTCCAAATAGTACGCAGGAGCCCCTATATTCGTCAGATCCTTACACAACACGCACCACCACTTCGCTCGACTTCGCGATCCAGCCTTTCTTTCTTTCCCACCAAATTTTCGTCAATTTCTTTTGCTTCGAATCAATTCGTTCCTTCACTGCACAACAACGACCGAAACTGCTCGTCCTCGTGCTCGATCACCGTTTCCAATCCAGAATTAAAAGGGCATCGATTTGCTCCAAACCCTCGAGAGCTCAGCAGCAACCGATCCCCGGAAACGCAAGAGCGCTCATCGTGGTGCTTTGGCCGACCGCACTATTCGTGGAGCTGGACAGAAAGGTCGCCATCAAACGCTCGAGGTCCCCAGACACTCCATCTCCTGCACGACCAAAAACGCTACACTTTGATCCACTCACACGTTACCTGTCACCACCAGTCATCAGTCACATTCCCCCTTTTGGCCGCACCTTACCGGCTACCGCCTGGACACTCTTTCTGCGGTCAGCGTGCGACTGACTGCGCTCCATGAGGTGTCATAAATATCCCCTGCCTTCCCTTCATCCCGTTTTATTCTCATGAGATTCATTCATGCTCGAGCAGTGGACCTAGGATAAAAAGCACACCATGATTCATTCTGTGCGTAGTCTAACAGCTTGAAAATCAACTATCTCTCCTCCCTTTGAATCGACAATGCGGAATTCACCTTATGAGAATGTCGCCTTTTGCAGTTGATTGACTTCAGCTCAGTATCGTGTGCACTTAAGAATTGAATAATGATTGACTATGACTTCTTGGGCACTTCCCATTTTATTCTCATAAAATTCATTCATGCTTGATCAGTGGACCTAGGATAAAAAGCACACCATGTTTCATTTTGTTCGTAGTCGTTTTGATATTCATCTAACTTTCCTCCCTTTGATTAAACAAATGCGAAATTCACCTTCTGAGAATATGGCCTTTCGCAGTTGATTGACTTCAGCTCAGTATCGTGTGCAGTTACGAATTGGATGATGATTGACTATGACTTCTGGGGCACAGATGCACGCAATGTGCTTGTAATTCTCAAGCTCGCTCACTGATCCCTTTTCCCATTTTGTCGGTTTAACAGCTTCAGCACAAGGGGCACAACGAAACTTCAGTGTAAAGCTAAAAAGAGTTTGACACATCCTCGTGAGACTTTTACGGACTAGTACTTTGCAAATGGTGACCTCCGTGAGTTAAGTAGATGACTGGTCTGTTCTCCGGATTAAACGGTATTAACAGCCTCGTGAAGTACAAACTGCCACATCACAAAGCGACTTATCCTAAAATGGATAGAAAGTGAGGCCTATATTTACTTCTATACCCAAACTGTTCCATATGGTGTCACCTTTAATAGCTGAGTTGGCGCTTCCTCGATTGAGCCAATTAGCATGCACATGCATCCAAAAGGTTACTATCATCTAGAAGCTGATACAAGCTTGGGAACAAATATTCCTTGTCGTTGCAAATAGAGATTTACAGTTGCAGTCCATGAGGATTGCAGTTGCAGTTTGACGCAGTCACCGCATCCCAACAGTTTATGCAATTTTTAAATGATGTGCAATAATGACGTTTATCACTAGCACAAACCTATTCAGTTTCCTCCCCTAATGCCTCCTAAGCTTTCGGTATGTTTCGATATGAATGGATTGATCATTACTCGTGAGAAGAAAAGTGGTAAATGAAAAAATATTTGCCAATGTCACATCGGGTATGGAAAATATTTATATAAGGAGTAAAAATATAATATTAGTTTAAAATATCTAAAAATGAGCCTAAAACTCATGTATAAATAAATGACTGATTCGTCAAATCCCATGATATTCTTTTTAAAAAACTGATATTCTTTGAAAGTAATGAGAACTCATTGATTGAAAAAATTATTGATATATGATAAGTATTAGAAAATTACAAACATAAAATCATTCCAGAATTAGAATATATATAGTTTGGTATTCAATTATCTATTCAATTTTGTAAAGCGTGAACATGTTGACGTTAAAATCAATCATAAATATTGAAAGTTATTAAATTACATAAGTATAAGACAATGAATTATTTACGAGATAAATAAATTAAAATTAATAAAAATCTACTGGAAAGTGATCTTAAAAAATATATACCATCTTCATTTCAATAAATCTCTATTTTGGTTGCATCAAGTCAAAATCTTTCAAGTTTGATTAAATGTAAATGATCAATCATATATGTTCAAAAATATGTCAATATTTTATCAAAAATTAAATTTTCTAACTAAAAATATGTAGTTGAATGTCTTAACCTCAGTTCATTACAAGTAAAAGAGAATTTATTCAATATAACAAAGTTAAAACTGAGTTGACTTGTTACATACTTTCTAAAATACGCTTATGAGTATTAAATATCATATCATTGAGAAAAAAAGTTTGATAAATGATAATAATGATGATGACTTTATATTTCTATTTAATTTTTTCAATTATTAATATCAAAAAAAGAAATTTATAAGGCTATTTTTTATTTTAAAACACTAGTGTGATCTACAATTTATTTTAGTATTTCAATGTTATCAATTTTTGATTACTTCTTTAAGTATATTTTTTCTTTAAAGAAATGAATGATATTAATGATTTTGACTATTTAAAATAGTATAAATTATGATAAAAAAAGATAATTTGCATGTTCAAAAAAGAAAATTGGATAAATTTTTGGTTTGCAGATTAAAAGATGAGTTATAAATATTTGATATTAAATTGCTTGATTTTCAATTTGTATACGGAACGGCTAGTTATTGCTCAGTCTATGCTAATTATCACTCACCTGAGAATACGAGAGCTTGCGAATGCGCCAATGCGCGACCAACTGATACAACGTTAGAGTTTGAGCACGTTGACGTCAACAACGACGACAATGTCGATGTGGTTGCTGTGAGCAGTTGGGAAATAATGTTAGATTCCACACTTGCAAACTATACGTAATTCAGGGTTGTACTCTTGTTATTTCTGCTGTTGCTGTTGTTCCTATTCCTGGCACTTCTCCGTTAATGCATAAAAAAGTACCTATTCTGGACATAGAATTAGACATACTTGTGGAGTATACTCATAACTAGTAATAAACAACAACACACGATCATACTATGAAAGATAATTAGCATAATTTTTTAAACTGAGGTATAATTAGCCACTTCCTTTATATAACATTCATCTTTTAAAATATCATTTTTAGATGTAAGTTGTAAGATATTGATACATATTGAAATTAGAGTAATAAAATCATGAACTGATTGATAATTTGATATTTTCCATAAATTGTTACAAAAGATGTGAAATTGTATAATATATAATCTAATTTGAATATGAAATCAAGTTAAATTGCAAATTATTTGAATTGACTATGTATGTATGTATATATATATATATATATATATATATAACTTTGTAACTCATAAATTAACATGTGATGATATTGAAATTTTGAAGAATGAAAGAACAAAGAAGATGAAAATAAAAACTCTAGTGGAGATTATTGAAGTTACATTAAATTCAATTTTGATCTCAAGTAATATGACATATATGACACTTTTTTGCGAGAATAATTATCAATATATATTTTTTTCACTAAATGAAATTGATAGAATATAAATCTACAAGGATTAAAGAATATAAATAAATCATAAAAATAATATTTAATTATTTTTTCTTTGTGATAATAAAATCATTGCATAAATTTTCATAACAATTTATCTAATGTATACAATTTTTACATGATACACTACAAATGTTATCAAAACAATGTACTTTGATCTCATAATAATAAAAATAAATGCAATTTTTTTTATAACTTAATGAAAATTTTAGCATAAATTAATCTTGAATACATTATAAAATATCATTCAATTGTAAGCTATCCATCAGAAATACAATGACAATTTCACATTTTTTCAAACAAAACTTGAATACTATTATATAAATAATGACAATATAGAATATATTTAATTGCTCAAAGTGTCGTAAATATTTATGAAATCATACATGGTTAAACATCAAGTAATGTTTTATTTTCAATTTTGTACAATTGCAATGAAAATGAAAACTTTTATACTTAAAGAACTATATGCATCACTTCATTTTAAAAAAATTAGATACAAAAGATTTATTAATGATAGATTTGAAATGTATTAAAGTTTCATGTAAATAATTAAAATACTTGTGTAACAATGAAAATGTGTGAAAATGTGTATGTAAGATTTAGAGTCAAATTGCAAAGTTTTGTCAAACTTGATTTACACCTTTAAACAATACATTTTATGCTACAAGATATTTGAATAGTTTAAAAAAGAAGAAATTATTGCAACAAATATCCGGAGATTTTTTTTTATAACTAATCTGTTTAAGTATGACATGTTATAGAAATTCAAATAAAAATTTAGCTTCAATTCTATATATCAAGCCTTATAAAGTATGCTTATATATCATAGTGGCTGTTTTTACATTAAAATAATTAGATTAATTATAAATTTTTTCCAAAAATAAACCTTTTTTAAAGCAAAAAAAATTAATTTTTTTTCAAAAAAATGAACTTCTTGTGTAAAGAAAAATCAAATATCATTATTAAAAATAATCATTAAAAAATACTAAATTTTCTTTTTTATGCAATAATTTTTTTCTTTTATTTTTATTTGATATTTAAATATTTTATTCATCATCATATTTTTCATAAATCATATGATTTTTTTTTCAAATTATATCAAAAATACGATTTTCATGTACAAAATGTTTGAAAAAACATGTATTTTATTAAAAATAAAAAATTACTTATTTTATATTTTTGATTTTATAAAAAAAATCATGCTACACAAATCTTTTCAAATTTGAATAATATATGCAACATCTTAGTGTAACTTAATATTGAAGGATAATTCAAATAATATTATTGTGCAAATTATATTATAGTGATCTTGACTACTTGAACATATTGATATGAAAAACTTTACTTTTTTTTGGTATCATGTACAAATTTTAACTTATATACAAGTATGACCAAATAGTCAACTGAGAGTCCTTGATGACTAAATTATTTAAATGTTACTCGGCTATCACGTCTAAACAAGTTTGAAAGAAAATGAGAATGGTGTTGTATGTTGTAGTAGGTATTGGACACAAATGCAATAATGTGATGCACAAATCTGAAGTAAATGATGTCTCCTCGTTTTCATATAGAATTTAAAAAAAAAACTGTAGTAATTTTGAGAAACTAACATGGAATGATTTTCTCATGAATGAGTTTCTTGAATATCCCAGTATTGACATTACTGTTTGTTAGGTTTTGTATTCATGCTACACAAAATTAAGCTCATATCATGTTGTGGATTATCCAACTAGTTGCATAGTCTGAATTTGTGTAAGAAAATCTAGAACTTGACACTAAGGCATTCAAAAGATTCGACTTTGTATAGTTTTATGTACACATCGTACTTAAGTAGAACCTATTTAAAAATGAACATCAATTTGGCATTTGGGCTAGACAACTGAATGATGATGACACAATTATTTTGCAAGAAGTCTTAAATAAAAAAATAAAACTATGCTACAACTCAAAGAAGCGGATAAAACTACTAACAGTTGTAACCATCTTTTGTTAGTTAGAACTAAAGTAGAGATGAAGATATATTTACATCTATAGTCTTCACATTAGCGATTTGTGTGCTTGGTAAATAGAAAGTTTAATGTGTTTGTTGAAAGCGACACGTCAACACTCCGTGTGTTTGTTAGGTAAGGATTGAGTATGTTAGTTGGAAGCGATACATCAACAATCTCTATGCTCATTAGATATATCCGCCATATCATCAATCCATTAAGATATGATTGAATGATGGAGAGTAGAGTTTATCTTCGTGTATTTGTTTGAAATATTTATATGAAAAAAAGTTAAACCATTCTAGGTATCTTCAAAGTTGTGTTTCATGTTCAAATGAGATACTCTCTTGATTCCAAATGTTATAACACTCAATCGATTGATGATCTTGCTATACTCTAGGTTTTTCAAATGTTTCATGCTGTGTTATGGACGACTTGAACCATAGGCAATGTAAACCCAATTGATGATTGGTGACATTATCTTTTAACATTTTACACATCTCATAAGAACTTTGGACAAGAAAATATTAGAAAATTTATGTATGATAGATACAATAATTTTTTTGTATCTTATGTATGATTTTGAAAACTCAGCAACAAACAATTTGTAGTTTCATATCTTGCATGAATATTGATGAATGTCTCTTGATGAAAATATTTACGTCCACTAAAAATTAAGACTTTCATGTCTAGTATTTTTTCTCTTTTCTTTTATTCATTTTGTGCTATCTAAACTAATGCATAGTGATGCGCATAAATCAAGTTAATTTGAAATTAAAGTTTTGTTTAACATAAACATGCTTGCTTATTATAAGATATAATTCTAGTTATGAAATTTAAATTTGATGCAATTCTTCCCTTATACACATCATATTTCTAAAATTATTTTTATTAATATATTTTTATAATAATTTTTTTCCAAAATTTTACATTAAATTCAAAAATGTATTTAAAATTTTTCATATTATGCCATATAAATTTAAGATACTAAAAAATTACAATTTACAAATTATTTTTAATGTGTTTTTTATAAATATCATATCATATCACATGTAACAATGTTATTTTCTAATGTTAATTACAATAATATTTTATTTTAGTAATCTTGAAACATAAGTAAACATGATGATTTTAATTATCATAACACTTACATCATTATAAGAAATAGCATAAAAAGATGATGTTAAAATGTTTCTCTCATAGCAATAATTAATCATAATTTAGAAATTGCTTTATTATTCATTTTTTTTTAACTTTTAAAATCATTCTTAGTCGATCATATTAACAAGACATTTATGGAATTCAACATTTAAATGAATGTTAAACTTTTTATGTGACTAATACATGACAATTTTATCAAAGTATCAGCAAGAAGTAATTCAAGCATTAACATCATTCAAATCATGAGAATAATGAGATGAAGATAGAGATATCACTATGAATGATGAAGTTTGAAGAAAAAGTATGAACTTAAAACTTTAAGATACTCAACCACAAAACGATAAAAAAATAGATTTTTATATATGTATCAGTTTACTAAGATTTTTTCTTTTATCAATATGCTTTAAGATTATATGGAATAAAGAAAAACATTTAAACTTGTCAAAGCTAGGCAAGAAGATACTAATTTCATTTTGTTTTGTTCAAGATCAACAATCATTCTTGACATCTTCTTGTTTGTATTTTGTTGTTTAGATAATAACCTTAAATAAGTCACATTAACAAGATAATTGAACTGCAATGAAAATTTGTTACTTTTGAACTTTGAGTTTATTGATTTGTTAATCACTACATACTTTCAATTGTAAAAATAGGGAGGAAAAAATCTGAAAATTTTGATGTTTTGATATCTTTTAATAAGAATCCAAGATTTCATTTAAAACTTGAGTGTAAGGCTATTTTAGGTTTCAAATCTAGTTTGATTGTATTATTTGTTTGATTATCTTATTTAACTTAAAATAATTTTCTTTCATCTATCATTAAATCTAGCAAATGCTTATAGATTTACTTTTGTTTTGATCGTGATGATGTTTTGGCTATTATGACACATGAAAAAGATATATTTTCAAAAAAATGGAATTATAGAATTAATTTAATCCACAAAAATAAGCAATGTATCAAAGATAATATTCATGTTACTCCAATGCAAAGTAAAAATTGGATATTGAACATACTTGCAATTCATAAATTTTATCAATAAAAGATGTTAAACTTTTCAAATAATAAGAACCGATTTTTCATAATAAGAACTAACACTAGGTTATATGTATTTTTGGGTATAGAACTAAATTACATCAGTACTTTTGACATTTAATTCAATCAATTGACCATTTTTATTGATCCTTGTTTAAGTATTTCTTTGTGATAAGCTCAATTGATATTTGAAGAAGTTTGAAGCAATTGAATGTTTCATCTAGATAATGTATAGTGCTTTTAAATTTTCATTCATTGTTATAATTTTTTTATTTTAAGGCACTGTCAAAATCGCATGGTTATATATCAATTATGTCCAGTAAATATCAAGATCTATAACTAATGGTATACATCCTTTATGTGGTAGGCATGAACAGTCAGTCGCTGATGAAGTTTTAATTATTCAAAGTTGAATATAACTTTTCAGTAGAGTTTCGTGATTACAAGTTCTGTATCGTAGCTCCTAAGCTAAATACAAACTCCGGATATGAAAAATTTCTACTATCCACTTCCCAATACCTGTTACAGTGGCATAAGGTGGCAGGCAGCTCTCCTTGTGGTATTCCAGCTTTAAAGTATACAATATATCTCATACGAGTTCTAAGCGTATGCCAGGAAATGACTTAGAATTCTTCTGAAGTTTAAATTTGTGTCACAAGATTTGCACTTCGCAGTGTAAAATATTCTAACCAAAAGAACTTCTATGCACTACCCGCTCCGTTCCGTGGGAATGGTAAACTCGTGGGTAATGATGAACTACCCTCAACTTGATAGGCGCAGCCAGGGTTGATTTCAGAGGTTCCAGAGTCCTCTGAGATCGACCGAGACTCAGCTGCAAATCTGGACGGAGCGCTGAACTTGGAGTTCATTCGGAAGGCTCTTCTGATCTCCCGAGAAGGAGGTTTCCAATTGCCACCGAGGCGCAGATTCTATCTCTGATTTGGGCTTTTGTAGATGCAACCCGATCCTCTCGGTTGGATACCCTCTTCACCGAACAGCTGCTCATGAGAGAAGTCAATTCAGATCGGGAACTCGTTACCACAGGTCTCACTATCTGTCCATCAACTTCAGATCTGATAAATCTGCAGTCCTCAAATTTCTGAGTCGCAAATCGGAAAGACTGCTGAATCATATGGGTTAGGATCGGGCCAGGGTGCTGACGTTAAAAGGCTTGACAAACTGACGCCCATATATGTAGAATCCAGTCTGAAGCTTGTTGACCTTCTCTGTGAAGTGGGCATAATCCCAGTACAAGTACTCGCCAAGCGACTCTTTCGAGCACAGATTGTAGACGGGAGCTCCGTTGGCATCAAGTGCCCCACATCCACCCACATCACCGTTGTAAGGTCCAGTTCCGCAACATGCTACTGAGCCCTTTGTGAAGCCTGCAGCGCGGAGCAAGGGTGACACAGATGAGACTGCAGGGCAAGGAAAGATCAAAGTGTTCATCCACTTTCATGTGAGCCCAGTTCAAAAGATTTAATCCCACTCACCGTATGCCGATCCACTTTTGACAATTCCCTCGAGAAACTTGTAGTTGTCAGTGTAGACAACGAACGACCCCGGGCAGGATCGTGAGAGACGCTGTTGCAGGGCGGGCAATTTGGAATTGACGAGCCTGCACAAAGCGTTGGCAGGCTCGAAGCACGTTCCGTCGTTCCTTCCCACATTTGCTGGAGTACAACCGATTGGGTTCTGCCCATTGATGATGAACTTCCTCGCACCCTCTGCGTACAAAGCCTGCAATGTACGTACACAGCTCAGGGCGGATTGACACAAACTGGTTAAAGAAAAGGGGGACCAGAATCCACAGAAGGACCGGATTACATCAGAGGCACTAATGTACACGACGACCCGAGTTCCAGAAGTTTGTTATGGTAACCTTAATCAGCTTAAGACTATCGAAGCTCCCGGTGGAAGTATGTGAAAATTTTCTTTTCGTGCATCTTACTCTTCATGCCTAAGAGTTCGAGAGTTCGAATTTAGGAAGATCTTCAATACCACGCGAGCCCAAGGACCTAGATAGACAGAGTAATAATCTCGAAGCGAAGAAAGTCAACAGGGTCTGTGATATTACCAGAACGGTATCGTAGGTCGCGTTTATGATTCTGGTGGTGTAGACGTCGGGACTGTACACCTGCTGCATGGTCGTGTTCAGCAGGTAGCCCCAAGCAATGTCATTTGCTCCTGAGCTGATGACATAGAGTGAGCGATCTAGCAGAACCTCTGCCTGTTTCTGTCCGAGGCAGCCAATCAGTTTAGACTTCACCAGTCGAAATTGCTCCAGCTGCTCAAGAATGTTGGTCACCGTACGACCTCCGAAGATGGCTTCAAGCTGTATCAGTCAGGTCGTGTTCAATCAGTTCATTGTGAACGTGCAGGCCATAAATTTAAGCTCTTTCTTACCTTCCAAATGCAAAACTCTGCCATAGATACTCGGTGAAAGTTTGTAATTCTCATTGTCTTGGATCTTCTCTACGCTTTATAATCTGCAGCATAAAGTGATGGGTGAACATGAACTTACGTTGGTTTTGGTGGTTTCAAAGTTGCCACTCCCACCGGAAGCGAAGTTCACTCCTTTGGTGTAGTCCCTAGTGGCAGGGTTCTGATAAGCCGCCGTAACAGGAAGGCCGAGGCCTTGGGCTGCAGGAAATCATTCCATGTCAGATCCATGTCCCACCCCTTTGACGCTCATTCAAACAGGAAGTTTGCAGCTTGGATCTAGAGTGCTTAGCTTCCTTCTTCTACCCCTGAAGTTGACCCATAGGAGTGCCATCCATCACTCTCTAATGCTTAGATGAGGAAAGCAACCATTGTGGAGATTTATGCGTCACACACGCTCTCGCTCTCGTATCGATTTCAATTTATTATCAGTTCCTGTTGTAGCCTGTCATGGTTGGAGAACCCAGAAACTCCTGTAATCCTGTAAAATTCGACGCTGTGTAGTGCGCATGAACTTAATGTAAATATTGCAATGGATACTAGACTTATAATTGTGCGTCCAATACTCAAGGAAAGTTCTCGTCGACGAGAGCGAGAGAAAGATCACAAGCAGGAAGATTCTCTTTACGTACCCAGCAAATCGACCCATACTCGTCCATCGCTGAAGCGTCCAGTGGGTCGGTCGAAGAAACTTTGTCCATACGGAGTGATGTTGGCAAGAAATGCGGCCCCTGGGTTAGCGATGAACTGGTTGTTCCCGGGGTCTGTAGTGGAGTCTCCGAAGCTGAATATAGCGGGCACGTCATGTTCGAAGCCCCTCCCCTCACTTACATCCTTCGCCTGAGCTCCACTTACTAGCAGCAGTGTCAACACTGTCACCAAGAATCCCGAGTCTTTCTTCATGTTCGGTCACTGGAGAAAAGCTATGAATAACTTCTCCCATAAACTCCGAAAGCCTTTACCACTGATAAGGCGCGCTGAGGAACACTCTGTCTGCCAGTTGATGATGCTCAGCTCGGAATGAATGTACTCGGATTTCAGAAGTGTTTATATGTACATTGGGAATGATGGTCTACCTGCACGGGGCCAGTATGCAATCAGACGCAGTTGAGTCCGCGGGGCAATTTATGGATTTCTGATCACAAGAGCTAATCGCATTCATTGTGGCCCTCCTGTGCTACTTCACCCCTGACTTGTACATCGATGATACTAAAGCCTCCGAACTCTAGATGCAGAACAGAGATGAACAAAGATCTGCCCAAATCTAACACTCTCGCTTTCGGAGTCAATTATGAGGCCATGATTATCAAATACAAACTGCCAAGGTGAAGAACTCGCGGGGGAACTGACTCGAAGTTAATCAGAGCACTTGAAATCAAACCAGTTCATTCACGGGCCGATCAACATATACCAATTAGATACACATATCTAGCTGGCCTTGGATCCATAAGGGTTCGATCCGTGAAGATAAGTGCATGGATTCTCTGTACAGTTTGGAATTCAAAGACGAAGCATGTAATCGAGATTCGTGAAAAGAACATAAATCAAGCGCTCCACTGAACTCGAAAATTGCAGCGACGAGGGCGGAGTACAGGCCCACTCGACGCGATCTTCAGCAATCGTGTTTCCAACATGCGCAGCCCGCAATGAACGTAAATGGAACTACCACGGTTGCGAAATTCACGCGTGCGTTTCACGCGTTTGGAGCTTCAGGAACTTACCGAGCGGGAAATATCTGGAAAGCGGGAGTTTCGTCTTGAGAATTATCCGCAATCACTATCCTTTAAGGAATCGTCGAGATGGCCGAATCTCAATATGATATTCTTCATCATTCACAGTCACTCGCAGGATATGAATAAGTTCCCCTTCCAACCTGTTGACATAGGTCAGTGACCACTGACCACATGTGGAGGATTGTGTACATACAGATCCAGAGTCATGGGAACATGTTTCTTTCAGATCACATAGAGATTGTGTTGCAGCACAGATGCTTGTTTCGTCTGAAGGCTGTAGCCGAGGGGGAACACTATCTACGAACTACGAGAAGGTCTCAGAGTCCATGCACCTTCAGCTAAATAATTCTCCTCAGCTTAATAATAATCTAATTCAGTCAGGACTGCGATGTCTAAAACAATTCATAGCCTACCTTGTAGAACAGACAAAAAATGTGGCTACAAGTTCATTCTGGCAGTTTGAGGCATTCAGAGAAGGAAGGAACTCCCCCTTTACTAACGTGGAACTGCAGTTCAATGTCCAATATTCTCGTCAATCCTCATCGTTTCTTTCGAGATTCTGAGGTCTGGTTGGGGTCAAATGAGCAGGAATTCAACCTGCACGGAGAACATCAAGTACTGTAATAAATCTCCGTTTGCACTGGTCCGCATGAACTTTAGTCCAGCTGAGAAGAAAGTTCTTCGAGCTGTCACCATATCAATCTAAGTTCCCGAGACCTGCTGTCTCCCTGTTCAAACGATGTGATGGTGAGAATATGTTCTCTTTTTATAGTGTGGGCCGTACCACCGGGCTAAGTCTCTCGTAATTCCTGGTGGATGACTTCTGCTACTTCTGCTTCATGGTGATCGAAAAGCTGCAAAGGAGCTTTGCAATAAACTACTACAAATTTGACATCTGCATTGCGGAGTCATCCATTTATAGTTTTAGAAGTCTGTTTCTTTCAATCTCGTATATTCGGAAGTGATGATTTGGTGAGTTCGAAATTGTTTCTTTAACGATGTCAGCGTTCTTGAGGCTGGCCAGCCCGGTATCAGAGATCTGTGAAACTTAAAGCGAGAGTTAGAAACCAAGAAATCGATCGTGAACCATCTGCAAAATGCAAAACTTATACCCTTCAGTCCATCACCGCTGTTCTGACGAGCTAAATGCCCAATGATTCTCTATTAAATTTTTCCAGGGACTCCGGTTAAGTTAATGCTCAGGCTGAATGAACTTTATCATCACACCGTAATAATGTGCTGCGGGCAATTTCTAGAAGCTCTTCATCACTCGTGCCTGCAATATATTCTTTCTATGAGGGCAAATCTGGGGCCGGCACGAGATTAATGAAGTTTTAGATGTTGTGGACGAATGACTGAGGCCAATGATGACTAGCAGGTGTTGCAGAGGTGATTAACAGAGTTCATAAACTAGTCCACACTGAGCACACTCAAGTCCAGCAGGTTTATTGGAGGAAGAGGCCTCCCCATGGTCATGCAGTGTTCACTACCACTGTCGCAATAACTCTCCGAGTATCAATAAGTTACGACGACTCGCCATTGGCCAGGACAGGTGTAAGCGAAGCTCTCAGTACCGTAATCTCCACCACTTTCAAACTCACACTATGATCGACGAAGCTCCATCTCGTATGCTAATGAGTAATTGACGTCACTATATGAACAGCGAGTACTCAGATCCGCGTTCCCCAGGAACTGAGGGAGGGACATCAGTCTTGAGGACCAATCGGCGCTGGTACGATTTGGTTTTGTTTTTCAACTCTCTTCGTATATCGATATTTTCGTTGCTCCAGGTTGAGATTTAAGCTAACCTGGAGAATAATAAGTCTGGAAATGATTTTGTCTTAATGCTCATGAAAATGTAACTGCTCTCTTATAAAAATGGAACACAGCAAACAGGTACATAGCTATTCTCCAAGATCATATGGAGATATATCATTTTGTTTCAACAGTCTACAAAAATTAGAAAAGACATCCTCGGCTAAGATAATATTTTTGATATTAAAACCATATTGTTCTGGTCTAAACTTTTATCGAAAGACATGTCCAAGTATCGTGTAATTGAGCACATCCCTCCGTTCTTAATACGATCAACTCTCAAATAGATATTTCAGTATACGTCTAAAAGATATTCATTAAAAAACGTCAGAATTCTAAAAAATACGATTTACAAGTCTTTTTCAATTTTAATATAAAGTTTGAACTGCCTTGGAGTATCTAGCGGACTCATAAGCGATAATACCACGTCAATCCTTTTAGCTGTAAAGTAGAACCTGTCTTTTACTCGGGCGATATATTGTTTTAGAATACTTGCTTCAACCGATTCTCGTTTCGGGTTATATTTTCGCTATTAGCTAAACTTTGCCATTACAAAAATCACCATTACATCTTTCAATCTCAGAGATTGAAAGATGTAATGATTAACATTCTATGATAGCATGTTCTGACATCAGGAAAAAACTAGATCGAGAATTCAATTGGATTTAATATTTGATATATGGATATATATATATTAAAAAAAGACCAGTTTAGGGCGAAAAAGCATTTTGATGATTAAATTACTTGCATACAACAATCCAAGTTGAACTAAATTTATAGCTTGGTGAATTTAAGTTCAATACAACGCAGTGAGAATTGTAAGTTCAACTAAACTTTGAATGCCTTGGATTGAATATACATATTATCAAATATAATATTCTTAATATTTTTAATAAATATATATGATAGTAAAAATTCATGTGTTTTTTTCAACTTTTATTTCATGAGTGAATAAATTTCAAGTTGTTTATGTCTTGTATACCACATGTATGCATTTGTTTGTGAAATATATTCCAAGCACGTGAATTTGAAATAAGATTACAGAGTTTTGTGATCTTTTGAAAAGATTATGTGAGAGATCATAGACTCACATACGATTTTCTAAAAGCAACGATATTGGGATTTTTGATTGAAAGTTCATTTTTCAATCTTCATACCGAATCATCTTTTGCAGTATACCTGATTTCTATTAATTAATAAAACTTTCATACAGCATGAAAACTTAGGTGTTCATACTATCGACTTATAGACAGGACATTAAGACTTGGGTTAGCATGATCCAATGGATGTGATTTGTTACCAAATATCTACTGGAAAAGCGATTCAAAGTAATTTGGAGAAACAGACAAAATAAAATTACCTATACTCACTAGAATCCGATTCAAAGCATGTATGAACAAGCAGCTCTTCAATATTTTTGTTAATAAGATTTTTTTTATGTATTTACATAAATGGGTGTTCTCTACCCCGAACAATTCACATCACATTCTTCAAGCTCCAAAGATTATAATCATTTTATGTTACTGAAAAACACGTGCAACTCTCTAACTCTCGACAACCTTTTAATTGTAATTTGTAACCTCACGAGAACAATTGGTAAAGCTCTAAGAGTGGTACGATGCCACAAGATCTACGTTTTCTGGAGAGACTCTGGAAAACAGGGCAACATCTCGCAGAATTGCATGTACAACTCTTGAATTGATTACAATGTACCGAAAGGAACTGGCTGCGTTGCAAATTGCTTGCAGTCTCCGTGATCCAAGCTCTGCGAATTTTTCAGAAGAATGGAAGAATCGAGTACATCCTTCAACTTCTTACCCATAACCAGACGTAATCGCTGATAAGCATTCAGCTCGCCAAAATTGTTCGGCAAGCGTGCCAAACCTCTGCATTTCTCAAGATCCAAAATCTCCGAGTTTTAGTATCGACCACCAGTTTTCCAGAGGCACTTCAGCTGCCCAGAGTGCCATATATGTAGCTTTCGGAGCGCTTTCATGTCAGCGAAGGAGTGAGACGAGACTCTCACAGAAGGAACGTTCCAGATTTTGCAGTGGTGTGAGCCTACGTAAGGAACGAGGCAAGTGTGCTGAGTTCCTCGCCCTCATGCCAAAATGCCTGCCGAAGGAGCTCGCAAACGGGTTCAGGAAGTCCTTGCTATAGAATTACTGCCGCGACAAAGCGATCACCTGTGGAGAAGAAGAACAGAAAACATTGGAAACACCACCTTTGCTTCTGCGGATGACCTGATTTGGCAGCTGAATGTTATCTTTCCAAAGCAACTGGCAATTTATCAACTCCCAATTTCGTAACCTTGCCTGTTTTAGTGGAATACTTGATCTCATCAAGGGAACAGGTTTGCAGCTCTTCATAACGTCGCACATCAGTCGGAACTTGTTTCCTTTCTGCAGACCATACATATCAATCGCCAAGGAATTCAATCATGAGCACATAACTTCGAAGGCGTTCATGCAAGGTGAGTAAGTAAGTTCTAGATAGAAATAAACTTGTTCGGCACTATCTATTACTGACGCGATCGCAATTCCCATCTTTGAAGATTCTCAAAATTACATTGATGATCAGCAATCAGTGGGCGTCATGTCGATCTACCTCTCGTATGGATAAGAACCAAATATTGTCCTCCTGAAAGTTTTGACTCTTTTTGATTCCTTGGGTTAGGAATGGACATCATCCAAATCCAGAGCTGTCTGGAAGAGTCCATGAGTATTCAGATCTTCTTTGGGAGACGTTCTCTGACAAGTCCTTGGTGTTTAGATATTGATGAAGATTCAGAAGGTCAAATGCTTGAGCATGTGAGAGACCTGGGCCTCAGGATAGCGAAGAATGCGATATAGATCGAGGATCCTTGTTTCCTTTCATTTGTTCTAAATAGGTATAGCGGCAATCTTCAGGTAAGTATCATGGATCGTAGCTCACTCTGAATTTTGACCACGATTTGTCATCTAATCTTGCGACATGGTCTGCTTTCTCCTTTGCTCCTAAGCTCTGCCTCGAGACAACCTTTCTTGCCATAGAATTATCTTCAGGGTCTGAGGGAAACTCTCCGTTCCGAGATGTTAAATGAAACGAATCTTAGCAGAAACGACTTGAGGAAGGACGGTGAGCAGTTGAATTTCTCTGA